GTCCTTTTGGCAATTTTTTAGAAGATAGCACAAATGTTCTTTGTTATTAACTCTCTGCAAATTTCACTGATGCTGTGCTCCTGCAAATTATGGACCTTTAATTTTTTTAATAATATGTTTGATCTAATCTTTGTCTTTGTAGGGAGTCATCCATGTGATAGAAGAAGAACCATCAGCGAGTATCAGCCTTTTATTCCCGGCAATTGATTTTTCACTGGCACGTAATTCATCATTATTAAAGTTTTCGTTCGGATACCATTTGGTTTGATCTCTAGCTCACCTTAGGTTGATCTAGATTCTTCTTTGAATTGCTTTTATCAGATAGAAAACAATGAGGACATCCTGTGGGAGCCGGACATCAGAGAAACGAACGAACATCTTGCAGCAAGGGGAGTGAGCTTTATGAATTGGTGAGTCCCTATTGACTTCAGTTTCCTACATGTTAATTCCTCTCCCATCTACCCACTCCCAACAACTCCCAACGAAAAAATAAAAAAAAAAAGAAAAATCTTTATTGTGCTTAAAAAATGTTTGCATGTTGAAAATTTCATGTTTAAGATAATTTACCTGTTTCAATGTAAGTGGGTTAGCATTTGGGATTTCTTGCAATAAGTTTTATTTACTAGCCTTTGCTTGTTCTTCCAATGATATAGTTGTTACAGCTATGTCACATTGTCTGAGGCCTATCTGGATTCATCATGTATTCTCTGAATGTTTCTCAAAATTAAGAACAGAGCATTTAATCAAATGGTCACTGCCCAAAGTTGCCACAGTGGTGGCAAGCCTTTAATAAGCCATTACATTAACCAAATGTATCTGCTGATTTACATTTTATCTCGAAGTTTCCATACTATTGGATATGCAAATACTGTTGTAATGACTGTATGATCTGGAAGGATTACAATTTCACGTAGTTGTATATTTTCTGAGTGGATTTTGAGCTAACTTGTAGGTTTTCATACTTCTGAAACTTCCTATTGTGTTTCTATATGGATCAGGTTGTGGACTCGGAAAGAGAAGGAAATTGCAGTTGTTACCCACAGTGGTTTCCTGTATCATACATTAAATTCTTTCGGGAATGATTGTCATCCATCTGTGAAGAATGAGATCTCCACACAGTGAGTTCTGCTTGACTAATTTGTTTTTGCCAAAATCCTTTTTAACCCTGAAGACAGAAAATGAAAGGAGAGAGAGAGAGAGAAAAGTCCGGATTGTAAAGTTAAAAGATGCCTTTCAAGTTTTTTTTTTTTGAAAATTTTATTTCTAGATCTCAATTAGTTGCAGAAGATTTCATTTTTTTTTTCTTGAAAGTTAGCTGTTTCAAGAAAGTGAAAGACATGAGTTGACTCGTAAAATTG